GAACTCACAGCATTCTAGATAACCTTCCTCTCTTTTGTGGCCCAAGGGTAGGCTGTGCTGAAAATCGGGTCCAGGATCTGATTGCAAAAGTGGTGGAGCCGCAAGAGAGACTGAACACACAACCTCGGCAGACCTGCTATCCTACGATCAGGACCCTGACAGGGAAAGAATGGGGCACTGAAACCTGAATGGAAATATGTGGATGGTTGCCCTTGAGCACCTTGTACCCTCAGTTTCTCCTGAACCCTCTAGGCCCTTAGGAGCTTCCATCCTCTTAGGAGAGGGGAACAGTCTCCATGACCTGAGCCCACACAAAGGACTCACCTGAGGCTGATGCCTCATCAGTCGATGCCTATCTTTGTCAAGATCCATCCCTCCTTCCCTCACTGCCTCTAGACCAGGGTCAGCAGCATTTTCTCAAAGGACAAGAGAGTAAATCTTTTAGACTTGCAGACCACGTGGTCTCTGTTGCAGCTACCGAGTTCTACTTTGGCACGACTTAAAACAACAGTGTTGAAACAGGACAGTAAGTAAACAAACAGGCATGTCTGCATTCCCATAAAACCTTATATATAAACGGAGTCCATTGGTCCACAGAGCTGTGGTCTTCCTACTCCTGCTCTAGACCAATAATTAGGGTCAGAACTTAGCATTGCCTAAGCAGAAGGGTATTTGCCCCTGTTACTGGAGGAAATAACTTATTCACCCAAAACACATGGGCCTGGCTGATGTGTATTTGTAGGAACAGGAAAACACACGTGGGAGGAGATCTTGAAGATGTGGGACTGGGGCTGGGGGTGGGGAGATGAGGCGTGCAGAGCTGGATAAAGAGGGCTTTTATGGAGGTGCTCTCTCCTGACTCAGGATTTAATATCCTGGCAAGAACAGCTGGAGCTGGCAGAAACACATTGCTGAATTGGTCCTTATAGCTTAGACATGATGATGGTTTGCACTTAATGAAGTGGTGATGCTGTAACGGCCTTGGAAGCGTACTAAAGAGAGGTTCGAAGGCTCAGAGCAGAAGACCTTCTTCCTTCTCGAAGCAATAAAGAAGCCATGAGTGAGAGGATCTCGGCGCTGGCTGTCCTCTGGAGGCCTGGCTGACTGAGGAGATGCTGCCACGAAATGCCACAGCCACTGTCAATGGACACACTGAGATTCTGGAAGAACAGAGGCCATATAGGGCCACTTAATCATCAGAGGCAGGGAGGACACAATTACCATGATGGGCAGCAAGGCCGAGTGGTAACCAGGGGTCTTGGATCTGCAGGGCTCTGCGGCAGTGGTGTCCCTAGGGTAAGAGAGGTGAGCATGTGAGGAGGGTTTTGCTTGAATTACCCACAAAAGATCAAGGATGAGTGAGCAGAGGCTGATGTTAGCAGCCAAGATAGAAGATTACGATCTCTTACCCAGTTTTCAGATTTCAACCAGTTCTCAGAGTCAGGACCCACTGACGGAAATGCCATAATGCCACTGCATGTACATAAACTAAATCTTACCTCGATTCTTCCCCAAAGTGCCCTCTGGGTATTTGCCAGAATAGCTATACAGTGTGGAAAAGGGAGTAACCAAGTCTTTTGAGATCTGCTGGGTATGAGGTCTGAGCTTACACTGGTTTCAGGTGACAAAATACCATGACAGCCTCCTTTTAGAGAAGGGAATCATATGAGGTCAGTTGATTAATAGAGTCCTGGCCAAGTTCATCTCCAAACGGATCCAATGAGCCTGTGGACCCACTCGGTGGCTATGTCCTGGCCCCTGAGTGCAAATTGGGAGGGATACACTTAGCAGATGGCAAAAGCCTTACATTGGTTCCCTGATCTATGGAATAAAAGCCATTTTGGAAAGAAAGACCAAGCAGAAGTCTCTAAAATCATCCCACTGGTCACGATAGCAAATCAGAAGCAGTACTACATCCTGGGGGAATTGCAGAGTAGTGATCCCATCAAGACTTAAAGGATACAGAAGTTGTCCCCATCACGTCTCCATCCAATGTACCCCATATTGTCCCTGAAAACCCCGAATGAAGCATGCCGATTGATGATTATCCACACGTCATCCCTACCACAGGCATTGTGTCAGAATGCTTGCAGCCACAGCAACCTGGCCCTGCTGGGCTCAGATGATCCTTCCACCTCAGCCTTCCAAGCTGGAACTTCCACCTCAGCCTTCCAGCTGGAACTCAGCTGGAACTACAGGTGTATACTACCATGCCTGGATAATTTTTTTATTTACTATGGAGATGAGGTCTCACCAAGTTGTCCAGGCTGGTCTCAAACCCCTGGACTCAGACAACCCTCTCACCTCCGTGTCTGTGGATAAGTAGACATTGTGAAGTCTCTGAAAAGTCCAGCACGAGTCTCATCTCAGAAGCCTAGGGTTCTGGTCCATCCCCTGGACAGCAGAGAATTATTCAATGTTTGAAGAGTAGGCCTTAGCCGGGCTCGGTGGCTCAGCCTATAATCCCGCATTTTGGGAGGCTGAGGTGAGTGGATTGCCTGGGCCCACAGGTTTGAGACCCGCCTGGGCAAGTTAGCAAGACCTCATCTCTACAATAAATCAAAAACTAACCAGGCGTGGTAGTGCATGCCTGTAGTTCCGGTCACTTGGAAGGCTGAGTCGGAAGGATCCCCGGAGCCCAGCAGATCGAGGCTGCGGTGGCCGGGAGCGTGCCACTGCACTCCAATCTGGGTGACAGAGTGAGACTCCAACTCAAAAAAAAAAAGAAAAGTAGCTCTTGGCCAAATTGGAGAATTGGGAACAAATAAATGATTATTCTTTTAAACCACTAATTCTTAGGGTAGTTAATTATGAATAATCAGAACATGCATGTAACAGCACTCTGTTTTTAATGTTGCATAATATTCCATATATGAATATGCCACAATTTACGTACCTATTCTTCCGTTATGGTCATTTCAATTATTTCTGGTCTTTTAAGAATAATGCTGACTAGGTGCAGTGGCTCATGACTGTAATCCCAGCACTTTGGGAGGCCAAGATGGGCAGATTGTTTGAAGAGTTCAAGACCGTCCTGGGCTACATAGCAAGACCTCCTCTCTATTAAAAAAAAAATGTAGTTGGATGCCTATAGTCCCAGTTCCTTGTGGGGCTGAAGTGGAAGGACCAATGAGACTAAGAGGTAGGCTGTGGTGAGTCATCAGTGTGCTACTGTACTCCAGCCTGGGTGTCAGAGGAGACCTTGACTCAAAATAATAATAATAGTAGTAGTAATGATGCTAGGAACATTCTTTTGCTGTTGTTTTTGTGGTTGTTTTTTTAAAGTTGGAGTCTCATTTTTGTCACCCAGGCTGGAGGGAAGTGACACATTCACGGCAACCGCAGCCTCGACCTGCTGAGCTCAGGCGATCCTTCCGCCTCAGCCTTCCAAGTAGCTGGAACCACAGGCATGCACCACCACACTCAGCTAATTTTTTTATTCATTGTAAAGATGAGGTCTCACCATGTTGCCCAGGCTGGTCTCGAACCCCTGGACACAGGCAATCCTCTCGCCTTGGCCTCCCAATGTGCTGGGATTACAGGCTTGAGCCACCTCACCCAGTCTTGTCAGTCCTTTTAATGACAATCGGGCTTGTAGGCGTATGGTGGTACCTCACTATGGTTTTAACTTGCATTTAACTTGCATTTGCCTGATGAGTAACAATAAGCTGAGTTGGAGTCTCACTCTTGTTGCCCAGGCTGGAGTGCAGTGGCATGCTCACAGCCACTGCAGCCTCGATGTAATATATTCTTTCTTTCTTTCTTTCTTTTTTGAGTTGGAGTCTCACTCTGTCACCCAGACTGGAGTGCAGTGGCCGCTCCCGGCCACCGCAGCCCCGACCTGCTGGGCTCCGGCAAAGTTTCCGCCTCAGCCTTCCAAGTAGCTGGAACTACAGGCACGCGCTACCATGCCCGGCTAATTTTTTAATTTATTGTAAGATGAGGTCTTGCCAAGTTGCCCAGGAGGGTCTCGAACCCACGGACTCAGGCAATCCACTCACCTCAGCCTGCCAAGGCACGGGATTATAGGCTGAGCCACCAAGTCTGGCTAATATATTCTTTAAAAAAAAAACAAAACTACCTAACAAACTGAGAGATGACAATCTTTGCAGTGGTGTGACAATAGGTTTTTTGTTATTGTTTTTTGCTACAGCCTGTTTGCTGAGCCTTCTGCATTTTAAAAATTCAAATGCTAGGCCAGGCGCAGTGCACAAGCCTGTAATCCCAGCATTTTGGAGGCCGAGGTGAGGGGATGGCCTGAGCCTACGGGTTCAAGAACAGCCTGGACAACTTGGTAAGACCTCATCTCTACAATAAATCAAAAAATTAGCTGGGTATGGTAGTGTAGACATGTAGTTCCAGCTACTTGGAAAGCTGAGGTGGAAGGATCACCTGTAGCCTGGGTGACAGGGTGAGACTCCGACTCAAAAAAAAAAAAAAAAACTTCAAATGCTAAGCCAGGTGCGGTGGTACAAGTCTGTAATCCCAGCATTTGGGGAGGCCGAGGTAAGGGGATGGCCTAAGCCTACAGGTTCGAGACCAGCCTGGACAACTTGGCAAGACCTCACCTCTAGATCAAAAAATTAGCCGGGTGTGGTGGCATGTGCCTGAAATTCCAACTACTTGGAAGGCTGAGGGAAGGATCACCTGAGCCCTGCAGGTCAAGGCTGTGGTGGCTGTGAGTGTGCCACTGCACTCCAGCCTGGGTAACAGAGACTACTTGGCGAGACCTCATCTCTACAAAAATCAGCCAGGCATGGTAGCGCATGCCTGTAATTCCAGCTACTTGGAAGGCTGAGGCGGAAGGATCACCGGAGCCCAGCAGGTCGAGGCTGCGGTGGCCGGGAGCGGCCACTGCCCTCCAGTCTGGGTGACAGAGTGAGACTCCAACTCAAAAACAAAAAAAAGAAATTCAAATGCTTCATTTTTAAAATGATGAAACCCCCTCCCCAAAGTCTACCTATTTGTGCAAAGGACAAAGAATAACCACAACAGTAATATTATGAGTAAAGTCAACAAGACATGTTTATTGAGCACCTGCTGTATACCCAGCATTGTGGGAGGGGCTGTGAAGGACAGAGCAATACAGAGCATGGTCCCTGCCCCTGAGGCTTACAGTCTAGGTGGAGGGACAGGGGAACCAGGACATGTGGGGAGCGAAAAGAAAACAGTCCAGGCCAGGTTGTTACGGGAGCTGGAAAGTGTTTGGGGTCAGACCCACTAAGTGCTTCGGTGCCCCCAGGGGCTCAGTGTTCAGTGCCGAGAAAGACGACGGCCCACCGCTCCCAGCCCTGTGTTAGCCCACTTTGTGTGCCCTATCCATAGCCTCCACTTCCATCATCTTGAGACACTTGACTCCTTGTTCAACTGCTACTCAAAGTGCAATGAAATGGGGACGGGACGGGGCAACTGGGGAAGGTCGCTGGATGACTTCTGCTAGCCAGTGTCTCTCTCCTAGAAAGAACCATTTCCCCCACCACGCATCCCCAATTCGGAGAGATCCCCACCTAAGGAGGCCTGCACCACCACCAGGACCCCGTCCCAGAGCCGAAAGAGGAGGTGTCACTGCTTGAGCTGCCTGAGGTGAGAACTAGGAGCCCTTCTTCTCGTGTGGACCCGTTCCCTTCCGGTCCATTGAGCTGGAGGTGAGGGGACAGGCACCCCAGAGCCTCCACCTGCAGCTGAGGGGGAACTGGAGGGAAAGGACATGGCGTGGGGGAGAGCAGCAGAGGGGGACTCGAGAGCCCAGCGGACAGCAGGGGCAGCCGGGGCTCCCGAAAAAGTACAGGGGGAACTGGTGGGGAGAGAAGGCTGAACACCGAGGCAGACTCCCCGGTGGGGGTGAGGGGGCCCCAGGGGAGGTGGGGTTGGTTTGCTACAGGACCCTACCCTCCCCTGCCATCATGGGACACCACGGGGTTTCCAGAGCCAGGAGGGGGCCGGGTCCCCAGCCCTGTTCGAGGCTGTGTCTACTTCAAGGTCACCTGCCTGACCTCAGAGGAGGTGGGGGGATGCCAGCGTTTCTGATGACACCCCCTCTTCCACGGGGCCCCCTTCAAAGTGCTATCTGTTTTCTTCTCAAATCATAAGGAATTTGGGTCTGAGAGTTCAGGGAAAGGGTGGAACATCCCAACCCCCACGAGATCATGAGTGGAAGGAGCTGGGCGCCTCCAGAGAAGACCACCCGACCCTCCTCACCTCTGGGGGAGGAGACAGAGAGACAGGATGAGGGGGCTTTAAATAATATTTCATAGAATAAAAATTGCCAGCACTCTGAGAAGCCTATCGTTCTACTATCTAGTTTTGTTTTTAAATAATTCTAACGGCAGAGGCTGGAGGGGAGGGCGGGGGGCAGGCAGGGTATGTACACGAGGGGGAGTTTAAATTATGACACAAATAATAATTAAGACACACAAACTGAAGGACCAAGGCGGAAGATGCGGGCGGGGCCTTTGGGGCCGCTCGGTTCCAAGAGCGAGGCCTCCAGCGGGGGTGATTAGGGCTTCCTCTTGGAGAAGATCAGTCGGCGCTTGGAGTGGTAGAAATCTGGGGAGAGAAAACAGAAGTCAGCCTGGACAAGAGGAAGACAACACAGCAGGGATACCCCTCCAAGGCAAACTGCAACAGGGCCAGGACGCCCCTCCCAGGGGCCAAAGGGACACACTGCTAAGAACCAGGAGGAACTCTGGGAACTTCCACTCCGTTTCCTAGGGAAGGGGGACTGATGGAGCATCCCATCCGTGGTTCACAGGAGTGATAGGTGCCAGTACCCACATCCATGGGTCTGCTGGAGTCTAGCTGCCCGATATAGGAACCACTAGCTCTGTAGGGTTATTTCTTTGCCTATTTATTTTTGAGTTGGGGTCTCACTGTCACCAAAGCTGGAATGCAGTGGCACGCTTATGGTTACCACAGCCTCGACCTCCTGGGATCAGGCGATCTTCCCGCCTCAGTCTCCCAAGTAGCTGGGACTATAGGCATGCACCACCGCACCCAGCTAAATTTTTGATATTTTGTAGAGACAAGGTCTCACTGTGTTGCCCAGGCTGGTCTCAAACTCCTGGGCTCAAGCGATCCTCCTGTCTTAGCCTCTCAGAGTGCCGGAATTTCAGGCATGAGTCACTGCATCCAGGCTCTGTGCGGTTATTTAAGTGGACTAAAATCAGATAAAACAAAAGGTCAGTTCCTCAGTCACACTTGCCACATGTTAAGTACTCAACAGCTATATCTGGCTGGTGGCCACCACACTGGACATTTCCATCGCTGCAGAGTGGAAGTGAATGGTGCTGACCTAGGAATTCCCTTACATAACCCGTGAAAAGTGCTCTCCCCAATGCCTGACCATCAAATGTTAGTTGTTGTTGTTGTCATGATTATTATTAGTTCTGAACCAACTGTGATTTCACTGTGAGACCTTAGACAAATTACTCTACCTCTCTGAGCCTTGTTTCCTTGCTCTAAGAGGATGGCAAGAGCCGGGCATGTCTGTAATCTCAGCACTTGGAGAGGCAGAGGTGAGAGAATTGCCTGAGACCAGTCTTGGCAACTTGGTAAGCCCTCCTCTCTACAGTAAATAAAAAAATTAGCCTGGCGTGGTGGCACACACCTATAGTTCCAGCTACTTGGAAGGCTGAGGCGGAAGGATCGCCTGAGTTCAGCAGGTCAAGGCTGCAGTGGTAATGAGTGTGCCACTGCACACCAGCCTGGACAACAGTGAAATTCTGACTCAATAAATAAGTAAAGGGGTAACAGGGTGTCTTGTGGTATAGGATTGCTACAAGGACTAAAAGCCACCTTAGAAGCTTAGCAAAGGACCTGGCACGTAAGATCCCGGTAAATGTTAGCTAGTTGGTCTTGGCTGCAGACTTGCTGTGTGACCTCAGGGAGGTTACATCCCTTCTCTGGGCCTGTCTCCCTCCACCTAAGGAGCAAGTTGGACCAGATAGGCCAGCCCTTAGACGGTGGATTCTGAGAGTCCTGGTCCCTTGCATTGTCCTCACCTGTCAGGCTGGTCTGCCGCCGCTTCCGTCCCTGAGAGGCTCCAGGCCCACCTGGGGACCCCTCGGACCTCTCCCCTGAGTGAGGCACAAGGGTGCAGGACAGCGACAGGTCCACGTGGTCTTCCTGTGCTGTCCCCTGCAGCAGGGCAGGTGAGGCGCCAGGCCGCTTGCCCCCTCCCAAGTCATCCCGGCACCCCCGGGGCCCCGTGGGCAGGTAGAGCTTGGGCAGGCTGAGGCCCCACACACGCTCCCAGGCGAAATCGCCCTCCAGCGGCGTCTCGGTGATGAAGTCGAAGTTCCATCGCTCGCGGGCCTCCTGCACGCAGCCGGCCATCAGTGCGTCACAGTCACGGCGCAGTTGCTCGCTGTCCACCGGGCCAAAGAGGCGGCGGCACACCTTGCTGCTGCAGGGAATCTGACGGGCGTCCCCAGCCTGCTCCGACATGGTGCCTGTGTGGCCAAGACACAAGGAGAGTCCCGGTCACTAGGGAATCGGGGCCCCACTCCACCCAGCTGGGCTTTGCTGTTCAACCTCAAGTGAGGCCTTCCTGCCAGAGGGTCTTCTCTGGTTCCTTCCGCCTGATTTTCCACCACCTCCTTCCCACAGGACCCCCCCACCTTCCACCAACAGACACTGGGGTGGGGGACAGAGCTCAACCAGTCTGGTACCCCAAGGTCACCGGGGGAACAGGCAGCCGAAAGGCAAGCGTATGTCAGCAGACTCAAGTTCATTGCAATCGCAGGGATCAGGGTACTGTTTGCTGCCAGGTGTTATCTGCTAAAATCAGTTTGTTTTTCCTCTGAGGTGCCCCTCACAGGTGTGAAGGTGCCGAATATGTGTGAAATGCCAGAGTCCAGCCATCTCCTAATCTCCACCCTGGCTGTGAGGTCAGGTCCCAAATGGTCAGGCCGATGGCCCCTCCAGCCTCCTGAGTCCCCCGTCCTGGTGCCCAAATGGGGTAATCCTGCTCTGCAAAGTAAAAGTGCCCTGGACTTTGGGGTAAGAGGCACCTGGGTTGGAGTCCTGGCTCTATCACTTACAACCCAGGCTTTAAAAAGACAGCTGGGTATGGTGGCTCATGCGGCAATCCCAGCACTTTGGGAGACTGAGATGGGATTACCTAAATCCAGGGGTTCGAGACCAGCCTGGGTAATATAGGGAGACCTTGTCTCTACAAAAAAAAAGGGGGGGGGGATTGGGCTCAGTGGCTCAGTCTGTAATCCCAGCACTTTGGGAGGCCGAGGAGAGTGAATTGCCTGAGCCCATGGGTTCGAGACCAGCCCGGGCAACTTGGTGAGGCCTAGTCTCTACAATAAATAAAAAACTAGCCAGGTGCAGTAGCATGTGCCTGTAGTTCTGGCTCCTTGAAAGACTGAGGCAGAAAGATCACTGGAGCCCAGTAGGTCGACGCTGGGGTGGCTGTGAGCGTGCCACTGCACTCCAGCCTGGGCGACAGAGTGAGACTCCAACTCCAAAAAAAAAAAATTAGCCAGGTGTGGTGGCACACACCTATAGTCCCAGCTACTTGAGAGGCAGAGGTAGATGCCCTGAGTCCAGGAAGTCGAAGCTGTGGTGATTCACAATCATGCCACTGCACTCCAGTCTGGATAAAAGAGGGAGACCCCAACTCAAAAACAAACAAAAAAAAAGTCACTTAAATGTCTCTGGGCCCCCGTTTCCTCATCTATGAATGGGGCCACATTCCCCGTGCATGTGTTTACAGAGCATGGCTAAGAGTGAGGGCTCTAAGTCGTGCGTGGTGGCTGTATTATCAGCTACACGGGAGGCTGAGGCGGGAAGATCACTTGAGCCCAGGAGTTCACAGCTGCAGCGAGCTATGATCACACCACTGCACTGTCCAGCTCGGGCGACAGATCAAGACTCCAACTCAATAAATAAAAATAAATTTTGAAATGAATAAGGGCTCTGGAGTCAGACTGCCTGGGTCGGAATCCAGGTTTTGCTAGGTGGCCTTGGGCAAGCAGCTTACCTTCTCTGGGCTCTATTTCCCTCGTCAAGGCATTGTGACCCCCTCAGAGGATCAGCTGAGCGTCTATAGGTAACGTGCTTAGGGCAGCTACTAGTATATAGAAGCGCTCAGCTGTAAGGCCTGGGAGCAAGTCTCATATCTCTTCAAGCTCTGCCCTTTGAACTCGGTCCGAGGTCACCAAGTGCCTCACCTCCCCGCCAGCTGGGATGTGGAGTTGGGGGCTCCGCTCCACCTGAAAGGTGGGGGTGAGGTGGGTGGGGAAAGAAAGAATCATTCTTTCTCCCTGCCTGCCTCTGGCCAGAGCCTCCTCCCCTTCGTTACCCACCCCCCACCCCACTACCGCCTTCAGACAACAGCTGACAGGTGCTGCAGCCTGCGGGCCTTTCCCAAGGATGTCATCAGGCAGACAGCCTAGGGGTGAGGAGGGACCAGGCGGGGCAGGGGATGATTTCTCCCAGGCTGAGCCACTTCCTGCCAGGCACATCAGGTGATCTGAAGTCTAGACACCCCGCAGCCCCCGCCCCGTGCTGCCTGAATCCAAGGAACCCGTTTTGCAGGCAAAGAAAATTAAAGGTGGCTGGTCTCCCTGGCTCCTCTCCTCCCACTTCGGGAGAAGGAAAACTGAGAGTGGGTTTGCCCAGGAGGGAGTCCCGACCTCTCCCTGTGTTGTGCTGGCCTGGCTCCAGGGTGGCGCTGACGGCGGGACCCTGGCAGGGACCAGGCTTTCCCAGAGATAAGTGGCAATGTGCAGCCTCTGAGGGTGAACGTGCTGAGTGGCCTCCCAAGGCAGGAAATCCTGGGCCGGTGCCACGCCCACCTACCCACCTCACCCAACCTTTCAGGTGGACTGGAGCCCCAACTCCACGTCACAGCTGGTAGGGAAGTGAGGCGCTTGGGGACCTCCAGCCAAGCTCAAAGGGATATGAGACTTGTGCCCAAGCCTTACAGCTAAAAAGACCACGAAAGGCCGCTGCTCCAGAAAGGAAGTCACACCATGCAGCGGGCAGAGTCCTCAAATAAGCTCTGCCCACCCTCTTTAGGATATGGGTGGGGGGTTATGTATATATTTTAATGTGCAGGAGCTGTTCTAGGCAGTTTACAAGTATCAATCCTCCTAAAAAAAAAAAAATGAACAAATAGGAGCTCCCTTCTTATAGAAGAGGTAATCAAGGTTCAGAAAAGTTAAGTAACTTGCCCAAGGTCACACAGCTCACAAGTGGCAGTGCCAGGATCTGGACCCAGATCTGTTTGCCCTGGGTTCTGTGCTGAACCCCACACCCTCTCTAATGTTGAGGTTTCTTTTTTTTTTTTTTCCCCGAGTTGGAGTCCCACTCTGTCACCCAGGCTGGAGTGCAGTGGCACACTCATGGCCACCACAGCTTCGACCTGCTGGGCTCTGGTGATCCTTCTGCCTCAGCTTTCCACGTTGAGGGTTTCTTAACCAGAAAGGCCCATCAGAATCACTTGGAGAGTTTTTCCAAAATATAGACTGATGAGCCCCCGCCTCCCCAGACCAACTTAATCCAAATGGACAGAGACTTAAACGAGTGTCTGACCTAAGTCCCCAGATGGGCGCTCTTGGGGTGCCAGGCAAGGGGGACACAACGATGTGTCGGAAATGAGCATTCCAGGTCTCCATGCCTCAGAGGCACGAGGCCTTTGTCAAAGAGCTGCATAATCCGGGCTCCCAGGAACTGCAGACGACAGGACCAGAATCCCGCGGGCACCCTCTCCCCTTCCACCAGCCTTCCCTTGTGGCGCTCACAGACCTCTCCATGCCATCAAAATCCGCTCTCCGGCTCGAGGTCACGACTCCCAGGCCCCAGAAAGCTCGGAGCCACAAACCCCCTTTTGACCAACAAGTAACTGAGGATAGCTCCTTGGGTTGGCCTTCGCGCCTTAGATTTCAGCCCTATTTTAACTTCCAGTAAGCAGGAGGAGCCCAGGAAGTGCCACCGAACCAGCGGGGTACTCTTTCCAAAGGGCGGTGCGGGGGGGGGGGGGGCGGCGGAGCTCGCCCCAGCCCGGAGCGGCGCCGGTTCGCGCCCGCCAGCGGCACTCCGCGGGAAAGTGGGCTTGCCGTTCGCGCCGCGGCCGGCAGGGGGCGCCGGTCTCCAGGAAATCGCGCGCGGGGAGGGCGGTGCGTGGGCAGAGCCCGGGACTGCGAGAGGGAGTTGGGATGAGTCAGTTTCCTGCAGAGCGCTCCCCGCCCGCCAAAAGTCCGCTTCCACTCCGGCTGCGCGTCACCCTGGGGCGGGGAGGAGGAGAACAGGAGGGGGGCCCGGGGCCGCAAACACGTCACGCTGAGCCGGCCGGGCTTCCGAAACGCCCGGCGCTGTTGGGAAACGGCGCGCGGCCGCGCCGTCCCCGGCCCTGCGCGCGCACACACACGCGCGCGC